TCAGAAATTGTTTTATGACAAGATAATCCAAGTAACAATATTTTATTACAAAGTAGTATATATTCATCAGAGCATAACTGCCATGGAAAGTTGTGGGTTGATGATCTAAGGTTGACATGAAGAAACTGTAACAAACAGTTATAAAAAAAAGGAATAAATGAACCAAAAAAATCAAGAAGAGTAAATATATTAATATCACTGAATACTAATCATTATATTAAAGTGTTTACTTATCACCGATGGTATTCCTTATTGCGGTGGACTGTATTGTATGGAAGACTGTACACAGGGAGTGAGAAGATAGAAATATGTTGAACCAATGAAAAGACACCAGAAGATCTGGATTTCACGCGTGGCTTATTTCTATTTAATGTTACATAGACTTGGGGACTGACAGGAGGAAATCAACAAACTGGCTGAGGAAGCAGGCAGGGAAGATGGGAATCCAAATGGGAATACAAATGTTAAGCCAGTCAGTCAGTGAGTTGTTCTATACGGATGAGAAACTTGTACTGTGAGTAATTTCCAACAAGTTACAGACTTTTATTAACAACTACATACTTTGCTGGCTGGCTACTTGCTGAATATGAAATAGCTGATCTGCTAACTAGAAAAAAGTAGCAACAAGAAACTCCGGCTGGGAACAAAGCAACCAAGAGCCGATCAGCCAACAAATATGTAGGGGAAATTGGAGATGAATTGTGCATATATTGAGGAGGCCATCGAATGCCATTACGCGCAACGCAGGCTCTTACTTTAGTAAAATCCAAATAGAAACGACGAGTGTGTCCTCGGTACAAGGATGACATGGAGAAGATCGTGTGATTTGGAGGAGGAGGGGAGGGGAGGATGAGAGATTATGGTCAATCGTGGACGCAGCTGTGCAGGACAGTAGAGAATAGAAAAAAATGGAAATGTGTTGGTGAAGTCATGCGTTTGCCTCAGAACCCAAATGAATAATAATAATAAATAAACTATTTACTGTATTATGTCAGTTTAACTAACATAAAATATACACGCCGTCACTCTGCACACGTTCCACTGATATATTAAACACTAATTTAAAACAGGCTAACGGAAGTACACGTGTGAGTTAGCGGGGAGTAGTAGCCCAGACCACTTGTATGTTTGGAGTTCATTCTACCGCTGAACCACCGGTGACATTTATCAAAAGGAATTAATAACAGCTTCTTATAACATCTGTGGCTACACAAGTGTTGCATTTTTATCATACTTCGCCTAACATTGAAAGACTGAAACCTGGAGCCTGAAGTTATGCCATGATTATTACAATCAACCTGATAACCTTTACAAACATATGTATTGCACGAAAAAATTAGTGAAAATTAATTTCACACCCCATATATTGAGTCTCAGTTCAGATCGCGCGGATCGCATCCTGTAGCTTTGCTTAAGTTACACCATAATCCTCTTTATCTTACCTGATGTTTTTCCACTATGACCAGTCTGTGGAGTATTTGCTTATCTTGACTCTGGTTATATTCTAGATTGTAATAGTTTTGTTCATGTGGTTTGACTTTCATTATAAGTGTCGTCCTTAACAGATTGTAGCTTGTGAGTTGGCTGCATTTAAAATGTCAAAATAAGCAGCAGTCAGAGATATTGAAGTGTTGGTTTGTAGGGATTGGATTGGTTGGGGGATTTCATCATGGGCTGATATTGTTTGGAGAACCACTGGAAAACCTGGGAGTACTGGACAGCTGTTTCGTCCTAGTTTGTGACTCGTCATCAGTAGGCATCCACCGGGGTTCTAACCCAGGACCTTCTGGTTACAAGGAGAGCTTGTATACCATTAGGCCACTGGAACCTGATCCAACGGCTTATGAATTCTAACTTCTGCCAATTCACGATATAGCGCGACCGCTAGCCAATGTCTTTGGCGAGTATTTGTCCTCTTACCCAACTTGCTGCAACCTATAGGTCATGACTTCTCACTAGAACTACCTACCTGAATAGGGCAAGTCGCCAGTGAGCATCTCATCGATATTCAACTGTTGGGTGCAGCAGGTCGGGTTAGTGGACAAATACTTCCAGGGGGGGGGTCGCGCTATATCGCGAATTGGCAGAAGTTGGAATTCATGAACTGGCCATTGGATCAGGTTCCAGTTGCCTAATTGTATACGAGCTCTCCTTGTAACCAGAAGGTCCTGGGTTAGAACCCCGGTGGATGCCTACTGATGACGAGTCACAAACTAGGACGAAACAGCTGTCCAGTACTCTCAGGTTTTCCAGTGGTTCTCTAACCAATGTCAGCTTACGATGAAATCCTGTGGTCAGAGATATTTTTTGGTCGTACAAATTATAGGTTCTCCTCGCAGGGAAATAAATAGCCACCAGAACTTAGTGACAAATTTATGAAGAACCATAGAAAAACGAAGGCTAGCAATAAAAGTGACGAAAATAAAGAAAATTAATATACAATTCAAAGCATTTCTAGCACTGCCGTATAAAGAAAGGAAGTTAAAGGCCTTAAGTAGAATTCTGAATGACGCTGGAATTATGGAGACATTTAAACCAACCAAACAACTATCCCAGAGATAAACTTTGTCGGCTGAAGGACTCAATAGATCCAATCAGGGAAAATAATATAATTTATCAAATGCCATGTAACGACTGTTACTCAGGTCAACTACATAAGTCAGCCTAATAGATCGAAGTCAGTCAGTTTATCAGACCATAAAATTCCACCTAGACCTAGCTAGAGTCATTGACGCCGTTAAGGTCAAATAACCAAGAAAAAAGCTTACCCATTGCACTGCATTTACTGGCATGTAGTCACACAGACATGGGATGGAACAAGCTGACAGAGTTAAAAGGTAATTTGGTTAGGTGAGGTGACAAAGAGTTTAATTACTAGAGCTATGTTTATCGATTCAACACCTCACACGTATGACTGAAATAACACAACATCTCTACCCGAGATATGGAAAGTGGTAACAAACAACAAAGGGAATTTGGAGAGACAGAACAGAGAGAGAAAATATGCATGAGACAAATTGTGAAACCGTGTATCTAAACTGATATGATTATGAGCAGCAATAATTTAAGCTAGAGACGTTATCCAGTTATTAATGCTGCATTACTGTGTGATTATCAAAATGAACTTATCCAGTGTGAAATTACATTCACAAAGATAGTGCCCAAGTTCAACACTGAGATTAATTATATACAATTGGTGGATGGTGGCTAGCAGTGGAATCCAGGATGCGCATTTCGTCCTATTTGGGAATCGTCAGCTGGATGTACCTGCATTTCTCAGTGAGTGATGACGTTCCCACCGAAGCTCGAACCCAGTGCCCATAGTTTCAAACGCCAAAGCGTTATCCACTAGTCCACTTGGGCCACGAAAGCCACCTGTTGTGCGACGGGTTATATTAATTAATTAAAGTGGCCCAAGTGGACTAGTGGATAACGCTTTGGCGTTTGAAACTATGGCTACTGGGTTCGAGCTTCGGTGGGAACGTCATCACTCACTGAGAAATGCAGGTACATCCAGCTGACGAGTCCCAAATAGAACGAAATGCGCATCCTGGATTCCACTGCTAGCCACCATCCACCAATTGTATACTAATTAAATGCCCAGACATCGTCGAAGCATCTGCACAAGAAGACGACATGTCAACCTGAGACCGAGCACTTCGGTCCAAACAATCGACGGGAAAATCAAAAATTCAATTCGAGAATAATTATACTTGCAGGAACTTCATGAAGGTGACAAAGGAGATTGGTTCTGTCTCGAATTCAATTCTCACTGAAAAATTAAAATTTCTCCAACTTCTGACGCTCGTTAGGTTACTCAACAGCAGATAAAAAATAGTTTTCCTGTGTCAAGGTAATTAGATGGATATTTCTGATAGTGTGCCAGATAAAATTTTTACAAGGATAGAAGCAAAGACCAATCCCACGTCAACTTTGCCTTTATAATCATAGGTCAGATTTGCAGAGCTTTTCTCTCTTGATTTGTATTAGTAATTGATCATTACAGTCAGCATAGAACTCCTTGAATCTGATGGCTAGAACACGTAAATCGTTTTTTTTGTTTTCTGCTTTCTAATGGGCGTACTTCTTTTTTTTTCGGGTGGAAATCGTGACTTACATACATTTGACTAATTATGATGATTACTCATACGCATACATAATATTTTATGCCAAGACTATACAATTTTTGTAACTTACTAATCAATGTCACAGGAAATATTTATAGTTTTAACTCGCTGCTATGAGTGAAACCTAAATTTTTCCATGTCCTATCAAAAAGATCCTATTTTTTGAAAAAAAATAGAAAAACAAACACATTAATATGCAATACCAGACTATGTCTTGTATATGTACACACATATATGTCTATGTGAAGTTGATGAGTAAATTTCACTATTTGTTGACAAGTTAAATCTCACTTTTTATTTTTGACTTAAAATTGTTCGTCATGAGAGTAATAACGACGACGTCGACGTCAACAAGAACCAGAACAAGAACAACAACACCAACACCGCCTACAACCAATCAGACGATAGACAAAATAAGTTTTAAAAGGCAAGAGAATGAGTCTTAGTTGAAAAACAAAACAGTATTAACATCTTATTGACCAATGAAAATGTTTTCACCTTGACAACAAGAAGGAAAGAAAAAGGCATCTACTATTATTATTATTATTTTATAAAGTATGCAATTTAAAAAACACATAGAATATATCTATATATAATATATAGCAAGTGATGCAATAAGTCTCTAAAGAAGACTAATACCATGTGATAAATAAATCATTGTGTTACATAATCAGAAACAACTTACATCAAGGCAACAGCAAAAGAGCAAAGTAGTTTAGAATGGAATTACTGATGACTACAATGTATTTTATTTCATCAGTCAATATATAATTACCTATATACAAACAATTCTAAGCCTTTTTGTAAGAGTAAACTTCAAGTATTCATGGGATTATTATAATTCTTATTGATAATAATAATATTGTTACCATTATGTCAAATCTGGATTTCACAGAATTGGATCAATGGTTGAAGGATTTAAATGCGCTACAGTCGGTAAGTATTAATGTTTGTTTATTGGTTTTTTATATGAAATTAGATTTCATTTCAAAGTCATCTGATTGTAGGCTAGTTAGTTAGTTATTATCATTATTATTTCCTTCAATTCTTAGAGGAACATAGGGATTCAGCTGCACGTCTTCAATGCGTTCGGTTCTCTGCTAAAGTTTTCACCTGGCTCCAAGTCTGTCCACATACTTTCATCTCCGCTTCACATGACCTCCTCCAAGTTACTCCTGCACTGATGACCAGCTCGCCACTTCCCTTTCGGGTTCCACTGGAGCGATGGCCTGTCTTGTGGCCTGTCACTTGATGGTTTCCTCAGAGTATGGCCAATCCACTTCCATTTCTTCCTGCTTATTTGTTGCACAACCGGTTCCTGCTTGGTTGATTCACTCTCAGAGATCCCTGTTGCTGATCTTTTATGACCATCTAATCTTGAGTGTTGAACGAAGACAGCTGTTAATGAAGGTCTGTATTTTGTTTGAGGTGCTTTTTATGACGCGCCAAATCTCTAATCCATATAGTAAGTAGCACTGACTTCACATTGAAGTTGAAAATCTGGTTCCCATTTTCTACACTGAGTAGTGCTGTTGACCTCCACACAGAATTGAGAGGAATGAAAGCTTGTCTTGCCTGTCCAATCCTTGCTTTGATATCCTTGTCAGTTCCGCCTGCAGTTGAGTATATATAAATAGATAGACTTAATTTTGGCCTGACGGTTTATCCCATTTCGACTATCCAGATAACTTCTTAAAGCCTGATGAATTCACATTTCGTTTAAACTGACGAAGATATTTGTTTTCAGTGTGTTTAAGCGTTTTTTGAGAGGCGAAGTGTTTTTATTCATGGAGCATTCAGCACGAAAGTCGACATGATCTAAGCCCTGAAAGCATCGTCTAGATATACAATGATTACATCGTGGTTAAACTTCTTAGCTGAAAAGTCTCTCAGTAGATCTGGAAACATCCACTTCAATTACACATCTTTCTAACTAACTGAAGGTGCTCATTAAAAATTTAAATAGCCGATTATTGAATGTATAGTATATTCGTTTTTATAAATTCGTCATAAAGTTCTACATTTATGTGACCATAGTAATTCAAGAACCATTGTTATTCACAACATTATTGTTTCTTTAAATTACAGTATCTACACATTACATTTCTAAACCATCATTAATATATAATATGCGTTGATATAACGACCAACTGACTGAATGTCATATAAACTAAGGGTGGTAACACAGCGTTTATGAATTCATAAGATCGACAACACTCTAGGACACCAACGGTGAATGCAAGTGTTTATTTTGCACACAGAACTCCAGTTGATTTAAGTGAATTTTAATGACCTTTGCTGTTTGGTATGATTGGTTTATAAGTGCCATTGTTAATTTATTCGATACCTGATAAGCGATAAGGTAAGATTCTTCAGTAGCAGCTCTCTAAGCTGAGTGAACAACATCAACCGAAATCTATCTGTTGACGATTTTAAAAACACCTTCATTTAGCCGCATCGCTAAGTGTTCCCGAGCATAAAAATCTAAGTTCCTAGAGTAATGGTTAATTTAACTGGTTCCATAGGAGCAGTTTCACTGATAGATACAACTGGAAGTGGCTAGTCTGAGTATTTTATAATTCAGTTTCAGAATGACAACCCGTTGTATTGAAAATATAAGGTGCAGTTTAGTGTTATTAAATATTGTTCAAATATTGGATTTTCTCACCTGGTTTGGTTGTTATTTCACTTGGTATACCACCTTTGAAAGGCATTTGTCTATATAGAGTTCTTGCTAACAGATGCAGAAGAACTGTTTTCTACTTCCTTGGTCATATGTTTTATAACTTTAAGTTCATCTTAAAATGCGTCTTCTGAACAATCAGCTCTGACTCTATAGCCGATGATCTTTACCAAATTTCGCTTATACTGAAGAGGAACGAAGCTATGAAAATGTCTTTGATGACCATCCAGCCACTCTTCTTATGCGAATTCTTATATATGCCACCGGTTGGTCTCCTTGTGAGTAGGACATCCAGAAAAGCAGTATTTGTTCTCTGAGAATTCGATGGCTGAATTTACTTCATTGATAAAAGTATGAAACTTGGGCACTGTAGTAGAGTATAACTCCATTACACATAAGATTTTATTTGGATAAGTCACACAGTGTTACACAGTAATATTAACTGATGACCACGTTTCGAGCACAAATCATTGCCACTCATAATCATATCAAGTTATTCACACAACGTTTTTTCCTTCATTTATATACATGTGTGGAAATGACAAGATAATTGAATAAAAACCAATATAGGATAATGTACATTCAGAAATAATAATATGAGTATTATTGATCAATTACAATCAGATGGGAAATAAGACGAGTGTTTTTATAGTCATAATGAGTAACATGTGAGAATGTTGTGATGTGCTTGAATTGAAATAGAATTTTGAGATTATTATCCTCTTCTGATTTGACTAACTGGTGGTAATAATATCTTCCATACATATCTCTGGTATTTGCATTGAGTCATTACGGTTGCATGTGTTGGGTGTAGACTCAATGAACCAGGATTCATTAATCAATTGATTACTTCCTTATTTTGGACTACGAACCCATTAGTGGTGTACCCGTTTTGATTCAACTCAGAGAAGTGAGTCAGTTTAAACTAGTCAATTCCTAACTGGCTACTTGGTGGAACTCGTAATTTTCAAGAATTTCTACAAAATCTAATCCTTGAAAATTAATCTGATTCTGGTCAGTGACAAGCCACACTACGAAGTTGCCTACAGTTTTAGTGAGAAATCATGACCAGTGGGGTCCATCTAGTTGGGGAGTGAGGATGGATGGATGTCCCGCCTATAACAATGGTTGATGGTAACGCTAAATGCATCTGGAATTTTTAGAAATTAGAACTCATGGGGTGAACAGTGAGTCGAGTCGTAGTGGGTGGATTTCATTGACCAATAAATAGTTTTCTTTAACAGAAACCTTACAAGAAGACTTTTTATTTAACTACTGCTCTATCATATGTGTAAAAAATATGCGGGTCGAAGTTAGGCCCTATACTCCAATACGATTCCATAATAACACACCCAGTGACATTATTTCCCAAATAATGTCTGTTGGGTTGACTTTCCAGTGATGACAACATCAGGAACCCCTTCAGATGCAGAAATATTCAGTTGACAAGTCACACATAGGACAAATTGCACATTCTGCATTCTACTGATAATCACTATCAAACGAATAGAATCGTGTAAACCTTTGGACATTATCGGAATATTCGTGCTAGGCATAAGTTTCAGTTCAACAGAGGTCAATCAGTAGGTAGGACTGATTAACTTTAACATATAACAAGAAATGATTTGACTATCTGACAATACTTTCATTAGAGACCAGTAATTAGTGTGATCTGTCTAGTCCTTTGTTTACTGTAAACTTAATTCTATCAGTCAGGTTTACAATGTGGCCACCATTGTAGGTGGCTCACCGTCACGGTGCAATTTGAAATGCTGATGTTAGATAGTTTCAGTCAGTCGGCAGAAAGCGGTCAGCCTAGGTTTCGTGATTGCTGGTTCTCTTCAGCAAGGCGTATGTGCAACCTCGAAGGAACTCATGTCCCTTCTGAGATTCTAACCTTCATCACCCAGGGAATACTGCAGTCAGAGTTGCTGCCACGGGGTTGATTGGGTTTGCGTTTGACCTCCTGTAGGGCTGTATTGGATACTTTCATTGGACACTAGTACACTGACAATGTACATTTTAATGTATGAAAGAACCAGAATGTGCCTGATGACAACGCTACTGTCTCTACAGATAAGTGATAACGTTGATCTTACTTTGATTCTCTAAATGTCACCAATTCAGGACCATATATCCGTCTGGGAATTAAACAATATAATGACTATAACATATTGCTGTAATTATAACTTAAGGTTCTGAGTAGAACATACGACCTCACTTGCAAATCTCCACTTCACTCTTTTCTCTGCAGCTCTCTTAAGGTGACTCTACGATTGTCTGTAAGCCTAAATACCTCTATTCTAAAATCTACTTCATGTCACTCTCAGACACCCATAGGGTTGTTTCCCATTCGTGGTTTACTCAAGGGTCAGTCTGGTGCGCGACGTCACGCAATGGTGTATTCAATTGATTTCGATTTCCTTCTAGGCTTCTATTGAGCATTACTTTTTAAGTTTATTCATCCTCAGAGTTCATTGTTGCTAATCCCTCCAGACCAGCTATTTGGTCTGCAGTATTGAGACAGGGAAGACAGTTATTAACAAAAGTCCGAAACCTACTGAAAATGGTTTTGTTGATGCTACAAGTCTCTGAACCATATAGACATAAGTGTCTAAAATTCTAATCGAGTTCTTCCTGTTGACTGTAGCAGACCTTAACACTGACTTCAAACTAATCAAGGTCTGCCTTGTCTTTGCGATCTCTGTATTAATATCCTCATTCTCAAATAAGCGATTAGTATCTTTTTTGCTAGACTAAACCTCGCCTAGTTTAGTTACTAGCTTAACCTAAACCTCAAAAAATGGGAGACTGAGTGCCAGGCTACCGATGATACCTCGATAAATCAATCCACTCGCTAAAGAAACCTCATTGCATAGGGAAAAACTTATAGTGGAATTGGAGAGACAGAATAACGTGGGTTGGTGAAAGCCGTCTAGAAGCCAGTCAGCCGATATGTGTTCATCTGATAAATGCAAAAGATTGAACATACAGAAGTGAATAGATCCACTAACTTAGAACTGCAGAACACTCTTAGAATGCAGGCAGTTAACTTTAATAATTTGACAATCGTCTGTATCACTGAAAAGTAAGAGGATTATTCAGGAATCATCGTGATGTTTATTTACAGTCTGTCTAAGCAATACAAGACTGGTTCAATAAAAACATTTACTTATGACCTATCACTTGACAGATTTCATTTCAGTATGCATATCTCATAAATAAAGTGTTACTTCCTGACTAATAATGAATC